GTGTTGGTTTTGCAGCCTAGGGCTGGAAGTGGGTTGGGTTGGGTGTTGTTTTCACTTCCTAGTGTTAGAAGCAGTGTTTGGGGGGGGTTTATATCTATACCTTAGTGTTAGGGATAGAATAGTTGAAGAAATAAGTGAGATCTCTGCACGTTCCAGTGACACCTGGGGGGGTTTTATGGTCCCAGAAGCTGAGGGAGTGAATTGGGCTCCATCTGGACATGGAGCAGAATTTATGGCCAAGATCAGACCCAACAAAGCCACTTCTGACTTGCTCCTTGGGGCACCAGTGAGTAGATTATTGTGGTGATTGGGAAGGCAGGAAGGGGGCAGGAAAGGTCAGAATTGTCCCTTAAAGGCGTTAGAAATGAGCTGGCGTGTTGGTTTTGCAACCTAGTGCTAGAAGTGTGTTGGGTTGGGTTTTGTTTTCACTTCCTAGTGTTAGAAGCAGTGTTGGGGGGTTTTTACATCTATACCCTAGTGTTAGGGATAGAATAGTTGAAGAAATAAGTGAGATTTCTGCACATTCCAGTGACACCTGGGGGGGATTTTATGGTCCCAGAAGCTGAGGGACTGAATTGGGGTCCATCTGGGGATCCCAACACGGAGCAGGATTGATGGCCAAGGTCAGACCCAACAAAGCCCCTTCTGTCCTGCTCCTCGGGGCAGGAGGACACCAACAGGTATCATTTTGGTGGTTGGGAAGGCAAGAAGGGGGCAGGAAAGGTCAGAATCAGCCCTTAAAGGGGTTGGAAATGAGGTGTAGTGTTGGTTTTGCAGCCTAGGGCTGGAAGTGGGTTGGGTTGGGTGTTGTTTTCACTTCCTAGTGTTAGAAGCAGTGTTGGGGGGTTTTTACATCTATACCCTAGTGTTAGGGATAGAATAGTTGAAGAAATAAGTGAGATCTCTGCACATTCCCACAACAAAGTCCCAGAAGCTGAGGGAATGAATTGGGCACCATCTGGGGACCAGAAGCTGAGGGACTGAATTGGGCTCCATCTGGGGATCCCAACACGGAGCAGGATTGATGGCCAAGCTCAGACCCAACAAAGCCCCTTCTGTCCTGCTCCTCGGGGCAGGATGACACCAGTGGGTGCAGATCATTGCCAAGGGGGCAAGAAAGGTCAGAATTCTGCCTTGAAAGGTAAAAAGTGACCTGCTAGGATGGAATGTGTGAGCAGGGCAGGAAACTGACAGGATCATTAGAAGTGTGGGATGGGCTGTGAACCCTGGAGTGCCCAGGCAGTGGGGACACAGGGGAGGGAACTTTGGGAATAGGGAACATAAACCCTTCTTCACCTGGGTATGGGTGTGCCTGCTTGTTTAGGGCACCCATTCTGGCCAGAGTGACAATAAACTGCTTCACTGAGGGATCAGTTTGGGCCTGTTGGTTGGTGTGACAAACGTTTCTCACACCAGGGAACCTGTTCCCTGTGGCTGAGCAATCCCCTGAGTGACAGGGACAGCTCTGTGCTGGGGCAAGCAGGCAATTAACAGCTGGTAACTGGGAGAGAGGGTGACAGGGCAGTTCCCCAGGGCTGGGGCAGCCACCCACACACCCCAGGGCCTGAGGACATGGGCTGGTGGGTGTGCACACCCCTCATCTAAAGGAGCAAGGGCACTGGGTTCCCCTCAACCACAGCAGCATCTCTCCCCAGCCCCAGGCACCCTCTGGTACTCACCACCAAAACCCAGAGCCATGAAAGGTGCTGCAGGGGACAGGCTGAGGGAGGTGGCAAAGAAGGGCAGGGAAATCTTCTCCACGACCTGTGCTCCAGCAAGAGAAACACCTCAGGAACCAGCAAGGACCCACCAGCTACTGCAGGTGGTGGGTGGGTGGGGGTAAAGGGGCTCCTCTCCAAGTTGCGGGGGCTGAGAGAGGCCCAGCACCTCTCAGAGCTCAGCAACCTGCTGAAGGTTTCCTGAGGAAACTCAGCTCAAGGGTTTAGTCCCTGTGCTGGAGGAAGGTCCCTCCTGAGCAACCTGGAACCCCAAGGAGTCATCCCAGTGACAAATCCTGCTCCTGGACAAACAGGACTGAGCTCAAACACCTCATTTCTGCCCTGGGTGTCTCCTAGAACCTTCTCCCAGCCCAGGAGTGAGGGCAGCAAACACCTTCCCCTCCAGGCAGCTGGGAAAGCAGCAGGGCTGGGCAGCCTGCCCAGACACAGCTGCTCACTGAGGCTCCTGGGCCAAACTGGGAGTCTTGTTTGCCAGAACAGCTTCTCATCAGCCCACTCCTCACCTCCTGCCTCCCCCCACTGCACTGGGGGCAGAGGAGGGGACACCCTGAGGACACAAGTACCTGTTTCTGGTGCAGACTGTAAAACAAGGCTTCCTTCTGCACCCCAAAGCCCACGTAGACCAGGGTGCTGGGATCCCAAGGGCAGAAGGCAGCCAGGCTGGGTGGGAGGCTGCTGAGATCCTGGGAAGTGGGGACCAAGGGGCACAGAATTGAGGTCAGATCCTTCCAGGCTGGCCCAGCACAAGAGGAGGGGCCGTTCTGGGCTCCCCAGTTCAGGAGGGACAGGGAATTGATGGAGAGAGTCCAGGGGAAGGTGACAAAGATGGTTGGGGGGTTGGAGCATCTGCCTGTGAGGAAAGGCTGGGAGAGCTGGGGCTGCTCAGCTGGAGAGGAGGAG